TTTTAACGTTTGACAATGTATATGATAGATACATATTTTAGTTATTTTAATGTGTGAACATGGCATGCAATGAACTGGTTTGACGTGGATAAGTAAGCACCTGAAGATGGCATTATTATGCCGAAACATGTAGTGCGAGGGAGAGAAGGAGTTAAATGAGTGTATGCACTGCAAGACGGATTAAATAAATCATGGACAGTGAAGACTTATTGTGTGACTTAAAGACTGTGTGTGCTGTAGTACAGTTATATTGGGAGTGTGTAATTAAGAGAGACTTTTATAGCTCCCGCATTATAAATACGTGAAGACTACTGAAGACAGAGTGAATAGATTATTGTATAGGGTTTATAAATTGGGTAAGCCCACAACTGTGTTATAAGTACGTGGTGCAATCCAGAAGTTCCCGAAATATATTAATAAAAACTATTACATCTTACCTAGATCTTATTCTGCACCATCACCTTCAAAGTAGTCCCCTTGGGAGCGCATACACCGATCCCAGCATTTCTGCCACTTTTCAAATGCATCCTGGAAGTCTTTCTTTGTTAGGGTGTTAAGTACCGTCTGTGTTTCCGCTTGAATTTCCTCAACTGTGTCAAATATTCACCCCTTCAACTTGATTTTCATCTTGGGGAAGAGAAAGAAGTCGCATGGAGCTGGCAAGTACAGTGGGTGGGGAACAACTGCCATCTTGTTTTTAGCCAAAAATTCCTGCACAGTGTAAGCCATATGCGGTCGTGCGTTGTCATGGTGGAGTACCCAGTCGTTCATGCACCACTTCTCTGGACGTTTTCTCCTCATGTTCTCCCTCAAACGCCTTAGAACATCGCGATAGAACTCTTTATTGACTGTCTGACCAGGAGGGACGAACTCCTTGTGAACAATCCCGTCACTATCAAAAAAACAGATCAACATGGACTTAATGTTGCTCTTGACTTGTCGAGCTTTTTCTGGCCGAGGTGAAGAAGGGCTCTTCCATTGTGATGATTGCTGCTTGCTTTCAGGGTCATAGCCATAAACCCAACTTTCATCACCAGTGATAACCTTCGAAAGAAAGTTTGGATCCTCTTGAAGCTGTTGCTGAAGTTCCCTGCAGACTTCCAAGCGATGCTGCTTCTGTTCATTTTGCAGCAGTCGTGGCACAAACTTCGCCGCAATCCTCCTCATGTTCAGTTCCTCTGACAAAATTCATTGACATGTACCATAACTTAGTCCCAAGGTGTTACAGAGGTCTTGGATGGTCAGTCTACCTTCTTGCAGAATCAGATCCCTAACTTTCGCGACATTTTCTGGTGTTTTGCCCATTGACGGCCGTCCCAAACGATCATCGTCATCAGTTAATGTTCGGCCATTTTTAAAACGCTTATACCAGTTGTAAGTTTGTGTCTGGCCTAAACTGTTTTCACCAAAAGCTTGCTTCAACATTTGGTGCATTTCTGCAGCGGTTTTCCCAAGTTTGAAACAAAACTTTATAAAGACACGCTGCTCTCTCAGGTCAGCCATCGCAAAACCGCAAACTCACGGAAACATCACAATGGAAATACGTTCACCAACAATAAACCCAAGCACTCAACTCGACGCCGCTTGCCACACTGATTCAAGAAGGATGTGTGAGGAGACACCTAGCGGTATTTCAATGTGCTCATAAGCATTCGTGCGCAAAATTCAAATTTCGGAAACTTTTGGATTGCCCCACGTATTTGTAGTTACAATTTATAGGTTGTTAAATAAACCAATTAAAAATCTGAACGGCGTCATCAGTAGCAAACCACGTTACAGTATATGGTAACCAGTAGCAAACCACGTTACAGTATATGGTAACCAGTAGCAAACCACGTTACAGTATATGGTAACCAGTAGCAAACCACGTTACAGTATATGGTAACCAGTAGCAAACCACGTTACAGTATATGGTAACCAGTAGCAAACCACGTTACAGTATATGGTAACAGATTCGCTCATAGTGTTTGTAGACAACAGCTTGGTAAACACATTCCAACATGAAACAGTAGAAGATGTGTCTCAGTGGACAAATGTTATAGCTTGTTGCTATGCAAAGTCAGCACACCAATGAACTCAATAGCTAGGAATCACATGACTTGTGTTTTCTGTGCAGAGCCTATGTAACAAAGACCTGTTGTAGCGCAGAGCACAGTGCACTGCAGTGCATTGTGGTTAAGAGCTCAGGAGCGTTTTTTAGTTGAGTTCCAAGGTTTGATCATGATTGAACAAGAAAAGGCAAGAAGACGTCATATTGGTATGAAGTGACAGTTTCCATGTTGAGATGACTAGTGGAAACATAATCCTAGTGCTTGTACAGCGGTGAACTGGAATGTGTGGAAAATAGCAACAGCATTATAATTGAGTGTGATTAGGAGAACTTGTAACCAGAGTGCTAATAAACCAGTCATCCGAACTACAACCCATTAATTTTCTTCATGCATACCCCCCTACACATGACAGTATATTTGTAGTGTTATCTGCTAAGTCTAGAAGAATGCACGAAGTACAGAGGTTTTCTGTTGGCAAAACTGAATTGTCAGGCTTGTTCCCTTGGGTACATGAAATAAAATTAAAGGACATCTGCAAAAATTATTGTGATTTTGAAAATTATTTGTATTTCAGTCACAGTCATGTGTCTTGATGAAGGGACGCTGTGCAGATGAATGACTAAACCATCTTCCTTACTCTATAACCAGCCAAGTGCCAGGTTGGAGAAGCCACAAACTCAGCAACTAATGTAATTTTATATGACTTGTAAAAATAAATTTGTGTTTTGAATTTCTGTCAGGTGGAAACATCCATTAATGAAAGGTAGACCCATTAAAATATGTACCCTCTTACAAAAGACTGTCTCTGTGGTCTTGTGGTCAGAGTTCCTGGCTACAGATCCACAGGTCCTGGGTTTGATTCCTGGCGCTACCAGATTTTCTGAGAAGTGGACCTGGAACAGGGTTCACTCAGCCTCATGAGCATAATTGAGCTATTTGAATGGAACAATAGCAGCTCCAGTCTAGAAAACTGAGTTCAGTTACCGTGGGGATCCATTGCGCTGACCACGTGACACTCTCTATCCGCAAAAGTTGTCACTAACTTCGCCAAAAGCAGTGGTCGCTCAGTTGGTATATTTCGCTTGCAGACTAAGACCATGGAGTTTTTTCTTAACCATCTCACAAAATTTTGTTCTTTATGTGTGCTGCTGTGGCATTAATGAATATAGGGATTTAAACAAGTGGACAAGTGTACTTCAGTTTGATATACAGAGTTATTAAAAAAGAATGAACTGATTTTATTACGCAATATTTTATACAATTTTATATTTTATATAATATACAAAACTCCAGCCAAGTCAAGTATTCTACTCACAATCGACTTTTATTTCCTGTCTTACAAGTGTTCAATGTGGCCACCACCTGCAGCACAGGCAACATCAGTGCGATAAGAGATTTCCTCGCAGGCGCGTATCAGCATATCACGATGCATTGAGTTAATCGCTGTTGTTATTCGATGTTTAAGGTCATCGAGGTTAGTGGGTAGCAGTGGAACATAAACGTGATCTTTTACATATCCCCACAAGAAGAAATCACACACGGTGAGGTCTGGGGATCTCGCAGGCTAAGCACAAAGAGCAAGGTCTTGGACCCCTTCCGACCATTCCATCGCTGGGGCACTTTTTCATTTAAAAAAGCTCAGACCATCAGGTGCCAGTGGGGTGGTGCTCCATCTTGTTGGGAAATGAAGTCATGTGAATCTGCTTGCAGTGAAGTGAAGAGCCAGTTTTGGAGCATATCGAGATAGGTTGTCCTGTAACGGTGTTTCCTTCAAAGAAAAAGGACCATAAACCTTGTCCTGAGACACAGCACAGAAGACGTTCACCTTTGGGGAATCTCTTTCGTGCTCAACTCTTTCATGTGGGTGCTCTGTTCCCCAAATACGCATGTTGTGACAATTGACTGTGCCGCTCAAGTAAAAAGTCGCTTCATCACTAAAAATTAAACGTGAAATGAAGGTTTTGTCTTCCATCATCTCCAGCATCGAATCGGAAAATTCCATCCGCTTCCTTTTGTCATCATTGGTAAGTGCCTGAACGAGCTGCAGTCTGTATGGTTTCAAATGTAGACGTACTGTTAGCACATGCCAGACAGTGGATTGAGGGATCGCAAGCTCATGGCTAGCTCAATTTATTGACTTCCGCGGGCTCCTCTCAAACGCAGCACGGATTCTCGCCACTTGTTCCTCCGAGACTCGTGGTCGTCCTGGACGTTTTCCTTTACACAGACACCCACTCTCTTGAAACTGTCGAAACCACTGTTGAATGTTCTTAGGACAGGGCAGATTAATGCTGAATCGCCTTCAAAAAGCACGCTGCACCGTGACAACCAAATTTGTGTTCGCGAACTCGAGAACGCAGAATGCCTTTTGCTGAGGACTCGCCATTCCAAGGGTAAACGAACAACTGAACGTTGCCAGAAGAACGACGCGACTTCAGCGCCCCTGTGGCAGCCATTCACAACTTAGATAACTCCTCTTTCAAATGGTCANTGAGGGATCGCAAGCTCATGGCTAGCTCAATTTATTGACTTCCGCGGGCTCCTCTCAAACGCAGCACGGATTCTCGCCACTTGTTCCTCCGAGACTCGTGGTCGTCCTGGACGTTTTCCTTTACACAGACACCCACTCTCTTGAAACTGTCGAAACCACTGTTGAATGTTCTTAGGACAGGGCAGATTAATGCTGAATCGCCTTCAAAAAGCACGCTGCACCGTGACAACCAAATTTGTGTTCGCGAACTCGAGAACGCAGAATGCCTTTTGCTGAGGACTCGCCATTCCAAGGGTAAACGAACAACTGAACGTTGCCAGAAGAACGACGCGACTTCAGCGCCCCTGTGGCAGCCATTCACAACTTAGATAACTCCTCTTTCAAATGGTCACTGACTCATTCCATGACGATGCTTGAGAACTGAAGCAATGCGTCATGAAATCAGTTCATTCTTTTTTAATAACCCTGTATAAATACTCTGTACTGCTGTCCTTGAGATTCTAGATATTTCATTGTCTTGTTCATTTATTGCAGGTATAAATATATCGTTATGAAGCTGATCATGTAACATGAAGACTACTGTCTTCTGGGACATGGCATCATGTGGTCTGGTAGATAATTAGAACATGTAGGAGGAACATGCTGCATGTATCTTCTGAGTAGAAGAAGACCCTGAAGATGGAGGCAGCTGTGTCCTCCAAAACGTTTGTACCTATCTGCCAGAGTATACATTGTCATCCTGGAAGACGATAATCCTAAAATATGGTGTGAAATGTCCCTTGTTTATATATCATTTTTGAAAACATGCCTGAGTTGGTTCTAAAGTTTGTAGCGGATGACAGAAAGGTGCATAGTTTCCTTCCTTCATGCAACATAACCAGAGATTGACATACTTGCTGTTATTTTCAGAACTGTTGTTTTATGTTTCTACATTTGACAGGTATCCAGAATATGACATTTTGGGTGATTCAAATGTGGCAAAGACTGCAGCAGTGTCTACACGATACTCTGACACCTCACTTAATGGCATCATACTTGACATACATTTCTTGTCACTGTGTGATTACCTAGTCTGCACATTTTCATCACAGGTATGCATTGTGTTCTGAGTTCACAAGTAATGTGTCCTACCTATTGCTTTACTGGTATGTGTTGTGTTTTGGAAAATCCATATCTGCAACATACATAAAATGGTAGAAGCCAGGATAGTTTGGCCATTTGGGTGTATAGAGGCCCCTGATGGAACTAGAGTATCTCTTTTTTTTTTTTCATTTCATGCATCCTGTTGTGTTACAATACATAGCCTCTTTATTAACTGTCACAGCACAACAGATATCAAGATCAGTGCCTAGTTCTGGCTCTGCTACATGTTTTGGCTATCAATAGCCATCAGGAAAATACATGGTTAACATATATACACTACTGAACTGCAGTACTATTAAAATTGGATACTTACTCACTCATGGAGCTGAGCCCTTCTTGAGGAGCTGCCAATTCTGCAGCTACTCAAGAATTTCCCAGCATTTTATGGAACCCGAAGGTTAATCGCCGTGTTCACAAGAGCCCTCCATTGGTCCCTATCCTGAGCCAGATCTATCCAATCCATACCATCCCATCTTATCTCTCTTAACATCCATTCTAATAATGTCCACACACCTATGCCTTGGTCTTCCCTGTGGTCTCTTTCCTTCAGGCATTCCCACCAATATCCTGTACGCATTCCTCGTCTCCCCCATTCGTGCTACACGAGCTGCCCACCTCATCCTCCTTGGCTTGATCATTCTAATTATACTTGGCGAAGAGTACAAGTTATAAAGCTCCTCATTATGCAGTTTTCTCCAACCTCCTGTCACTTCATCTCTCTTCAGTCCAAATATTCTCCTCAACACCCTGTTCTCAAACACCCT